ACATTTAAATTGACTTAAAATAATAGGTAAAATTGACAATTTAAATTTATTAAACCTATTTTTAAACGTCATAAAAATTTGTGAAAATATACGCTAATACCAAAAGTTAACATGTTCAGTCGACTAACTTGTTAGGGTTTCGTATATTATATTTTGCTACTACCTCACCTGTCTAACATAAGTTATTTTTACAAAGTCATCTGCTCCATAAATTAATCCACAATACATAATCAAACGTTCAATATGGCCCACCCCTTAATATCGTCGTAAATTTCCCACAAGCAGCCGCGTTCTTGTCACAAATAAATCATGACATTTACATGTACTCCTTGGCGATATTAAAAAAAAACTAGATCGGAACTGAACAAAACGGCTCCTTAACAATGTTACCTTTGCCGCCCTAAAAATTTGAACTCGACTCTATAGTATTAGACTTACGATATTTTTTTTTAGAAGTCAGTTGTCATGTTGGTATTACATGGCGATGCAGGATGCGTTTCGCACACTTCCTCAACAATGTTAAAGGAGAGCAGAGCTGAGTTAACAAAAGGATGTCGGTGTGCTCCAGATTGTATAACAATAAATATTATTACTCCAATTCGGAACTTATGTCAAAAGGTGAACGGTTTTGAGGTGAACAATAGTTTCAATTTGGTAAGGCGAGGGCTCGCTACCTTTGACATAACGACATCTGCCATTTTTTATGTCTTCTTATTAATTTTTATTTGTTAATCATTTCTTCGACCAGCTTCTTTCTTATTAACGTTATATTTCATATATATAGTTTCACAGACCAAAGATAAGTCCGTCGTTAATTTTTTATTTTAGTAATTTAACAAATATATAGTTTTTATCTTCTTGTTTAATCACACCAACCTAAGTGGGATGATATTTATCGATATATTACAGTTTTACAGGCAAATGTTGATCTAGTTTTCATGTTTTGTTGCATTTTCTGGTAAGATCCGTTTAAAATTGATCAAAAAGAAAGCTTTAGCGTTACGTAACGAGAACTTTCGATTGAGTTATCACTGAAAAAAAAACGTTAATGCTTTAACAATAGACACATATTAGTCTGGACTGGTGGTCGTCGTGCTACCGATTCAAAATTGAGTACTAACTGCACTGTTGGTATGCAAAATTTAACTTTAAGTCTCTGCCGTCAGGGCTCCTAAAGCAACTATCTCTTATTAGTCTTATTAAGTAATCTATGATTTGACCATAACACATAATTTAACAATAAAAGATTTTATCCGATGTCGAATAAATTTTGATATTGTTAATGGCGGATCCACACTGAGACTAACAGCGGGCACCCTTTTCAAAACGACATTTTCCTTTCCCATGGTCAAATGTTTACATTAAAATTGTAATTGCGAGGAATAATCAGTGATATTCGGAAGTCATAATTTTTCGGACAACAATTAACTTGGTAGGAACTTGCCTTGGGGTGCCTAATTAGGTGCATTATTTTTATGATTCAGTGACCGCATCATGCTAGAGGCCATTTAAATTTTCAAGATACATGACAACATAAATTCCATTGAATTACCTTATCCACGACTCCGTGTCCAGACTCATGAGCTTGTCCTTACCATGTCGTTACCATAAAGGGTGTAAGAAGATAGAAATGTTTGGTGGACTACCATTAAGACGGAGATGAAACAAGGAGCACATAGGTACATTATTATATTTTTGGAAAAAAAGGATACTACATGGTAAGCCGAATCCATTATGTAGGTTTCATGGTCTGGTTACTTTAGCAGACCAAAATGATTGAAGCACTGTCGTAGTAGAATACGATATTTTAGTAGGACGATATATATTTCGGTTAATTGGGACACACACCGTGGGAGAGCCATGCTTCGGCACGAATGGAGTGACACCACGGGCTCACAGAAAACCGGTGTTAAGCAATTCTTTCGTTGCCTTTCACTGAGTTAGTGAGGTTACCGGAGCCCAAATCCCCTCCCCCGCTGTCTCGAGCGAGAGGGACTCCAAGGGCGTCAACGCACTTGTGACTTTTGAGTTGTAGATGTCCATGGGCGGCGGTAGTTGCTTACCATCAGGTAACTCGTCTGCTCGTATGCCCTCTTATACCATAAAAAAATATATACTTCAATGGTGCTAATTATCTCGCCTTAAACCAGTATTGTAACTCATAGTCCACTAGATCGGTCTCGATTACGACATGTCATATATATTATATCATCATCATCATCACATTCATCATCAATAGCCTTAAATAGTCCACTGCATGACATAGGCCTCTCCTTAGAAAGGAGATTTTGGGCTTCGATGTATTATATAGTGTGTATGTGTGTAAATTGTCAAGTTCCTTCACGAATTCAATATACAGTAATAATAATATAATATAATATAATTTATTTACCAGCCATCTGTTAGTAATACAGTGTTGTCTTGCTATAGATATAAAAAATTAAGTTCAACATGCAAATTTTATAATACTGACCTATTACATAAATTCGTATTCTAAGTATATGTAAAAAAGTAGAAATATTTAAATTAAAAACAATATAATCGGCATGCTTTACTTAGCCGTTGGCGTACAATATGATTTATAGACATCAAACCCCTTACGTGGCCTGCGTATGCGCAGCCATGTTATGTCCAAAGATTGATAGATAAAGCCTTAGCCGTAACCATATTGATATGACGTTAATAAGATACAGTTTTTTGACCTTATACAAATTTTGTTTTACTTTTTTTTTTATTAGCGCGCTAGTCATACTAGTAGACGAGTCGGGCTTATCACTGGGTGTGCCTAATACTCTGATTGATTTATTTATTTCAAGTTCTTAATATTTCATGATAGCAAGGTAACAAACATTATTTTAAATTATATTAGTGTGTAAAACATTGATTTTGGAAAAAAAATGGTTAAAGCCGTTGAATTATTTTAATTTCTGAGCCAATTTATAATAAGGTGTTATAAACATATTAAATATGATTTAGATAGAATGTTTCCTTATGACTTTAAATACAGAGATACAAAGCTAAAAACAACAATAAAACAATGCATTGATGACGTAATTGCGCGGTAATCGAAGGCACTTATCGAGGCGCCTGCGCATATAGCGGGGGCGCGTGCTACAGCTGCGTGCGCTAACTATATGCAGTGCACTTAGTAAGGGAAATTTAATTATAAACAACTGTGATAGTACCGTAATTATTAGCGAATTTTTTTTTTGAGAATCCAAAAATTTTATTGAATTTCTCCGTTAAACCTAAGTGGTTGTATTACTTTCTTTCTTATACAGTTACGTGTATATTAATGATTGATGTCATTGCCATAGATATATATAGATCATGATAAAAAAGAGGAACAGGGTTGTCTAACGAATAATTGACACCATCATTTCCATATTGTATCTAATCTATTAAAGTATCGTTAGACGGTCTTCAAAACTTCATCAATCATCATCATCAGCCTATACTAGCCCACTGCTGGACATAGGCCTCTCCTTAGAAAGGAGGTTTTGACCTACTATATCACGCTGGCCAGACGGGTTGGTACAGGGTTTGTTTCAAGTTTTCCTTCTCTTTGCACTGCTGTTGTCCTGCTTAGTTTGCTCCCTTAGTGCCCCCCGTGCCTTAGCTCCCCGTGTGGTGACGGATTAAGAATACAAATTGTCACCACCCCAATTCATCCCGTGGGTATCGTAAGAGCCGACTTCAAAACTAATTACCTTTAAAAAAATACACAACATTTAAAATATATATGAATTCATAGTATAATGAAACATACATTCCAAAACTAAAAATAAAATATTTAAAAAACAAAACAAAAATATAAAATATAAAGCAAATGGTTTAATATATCCTCTATTTTTTATTATTTAAACATTTAAAAAAAAGTCGTAAAATTTACCTTATGGTACAATATTTTTAAATTGCTCAATTTTGTAGGGAAGAACCCTAGTCAGACACTGGACATTCAATGGCTGACTTCACTTGGAGAGAGTAGTTTTTGCTCAAAGTCACTACCATCTATTGGGGACTTCATTGAAGTATTCGAATACCGGACTTAATACAACACCAGAGCCGGTATTACGAAAGGTACCGCATTCATTTAAAACAACACTGGTAAGCTATCTGTTAATCCAGTCGCTTACGGATTAAATTTGTTAAAAACATGTCATAGGTATAATCATGTAAGATTTCTATAATGAAAATTTCAAGTGTTTCAAAACAATCATACCTGCCATCCTTAATACAACTCTTCCACAACATAAGCTTTTTCATGAAAGCTCGCATTTTATCGTGAACTGCACAAATATCTCATTCATTTGAAACTAACAAATATAAATTGAGTTCGTTAAACTTAGAAAAAAAACCGTCAAATATGTGAGCTTGAGAATAAATTCTTCGTCAAGCAGAGATTCAGTATATTCAGTTTTTCCTTCCAAGTAAAATGTAAGTACATTGCGTAATTCCACCAGTCGTGTTATTACTTTTCCCCTTGATAACCAACATACCTCCGTATTCAGAAGAAGAGTTGTATGAAAACTACGAATTACTTCACATAGCTTACGAAATAAACGTGTTTGTAAGGGTTTTGTTTTAATATAATTTACAATTTTCATAGCTGTATTTAGTAATCTTTTGAAATAGTCAGGTAATGCTTTTGAAACCGGTGCTTCTCTATGAAGACTGCAGTGTGTCCACAAAGCACAGGGGCTTTGTTTAAGAACTCTTGTAAAGACACTGTTATTTTTTCCAAACATAGACCTCGCACGACATATTTCTTCCACTGTAAACCTTTCTCTTTTACATAGGAATCAATTGCATTGCAAATTTCCTCCGTCGTTCCACAACTAATTGGCTTGCAGAATATAAATAACGTACAAAAACAAGAAGTTGAGATGCTCCTGCGTGTCAGTAGACTCATCTACGAGTAGTTGTAGCATATAATATTTACTAGCAACTACCCTCTGACTTAATTCGTCTTCTGCCCATTCACACATTTCGTCGATTCGTCATGCAACAGTAATGTTGGACAGTGGTATGCGCTTGATTTCCTGTACTTTTTTTTCTCCAAACATCGCTTCAACAGCATCTTTAAGCGATGGTAACATTAAGCCTTCCCCAATGGAGTGAGGATTTCCTGGCCAGGCGATCATTAAGCTTATGAGGTACGATGCATACGAATCATTTTCATTAATATTAATGAAATGTGCACGAATATTTTTAGACGATTTCATGTCCAACAATTTTCTTTTAAAAAAATCTACTGGATTTTACAAAATTGGAATGCTTCGTTTCTATATGAGGCGTCAACTTACTTAGGCGCATACTTCCGTTCGCTAATATTTCGTAACTAATCACGCATTGAGGACGGGTATCTATCGTGCCATGAATCCTAGTGTCAGATATTCAGGATTATATAATATTTTCTTACAACTTGCCGTACTTATTCGTCGAGGGAACTTGAGAGTCAGCTTCAGTGCCACTTTTGTCATTTATACGCACATCTTCTGTCTTTTCATCACTTTGTTCACAATCAAACGGCGGTGGCGACGTAGTTTTTGCTATTAGTTTAAACCAGTTTTCCATTATTATTTTCAAATTTTAATTGATAAATATTGATTTGTAAAATATTATAAGGATGCACACAAACGAACACAATACAACGCGATAAAGAATATCACAAAGGCGTCCGACTCAGGCTCTCCCCAGGTCCCCTCAGTGGCCGTCCTGTAAGCCCGATCGGTCGGGTTATCTTATGCTCCAGGACCCACCAGTGGTTCGCGACCCATACTTAGGGAACTCCTGAAATAGACTTGGTTTTTCAATTACTTATCAATACCAACATGTATTATGAATGCAGGAGGCTTTTGTTTTTCTTATGTAAAAATCGTGTTGAAATAAATTGTAAAACGTAGAAATGTATGAAAAAAATTGCTGTCCAATTAACTGCTGTCCAAGTATATAAATACTACTAAATTAACCCCCAAAGGAGGAAACAATAAATAAAATATTCACTAGTGTTCACATTCAAACGGAACCGCATTTGAATTCCATTATTGGACCATAAAACCCCTAGGTTTTGTTGGACCGTACTGAATTATGCATCACAGAGCCACCTGTCGTCCAACCGACAAACTAACATTTGCTATGTAACATAAAATGCATAATTTGTGCTTGCATGGAATTAAAACTATATTAATATAGCTTGTGAAATACATTTCTTTTAAAGACAACTTTCACAGTAGAAACATTTTCTGTGTCGCGGGGGATTTTACAGACATACAATAGACGGACACGAAGAACACCTAGTCCAATTTATCCCATGTGGGGATCGAACGAAAAATTCTACGTATTTCTCTCCACTATATATAAGGCGAATAGCGTTGCCAACGGCTCAGATACTGGAAGTGCTTACTGCACAGACAGCACGTGTCTTCGTCCCTTTCGTAACTAGGTTTCATACAATTCATGTATCACATGCAGGTTCAAAACTACGTACATTAAATAAAATCAAGTCACGACATTAAGTCAAAACAAGAAAACATCACAATAATTTGTAAAATTCGATTTTTGATTGGAAAAATGGTCGGTCATCTTCGCAAACAAAAAACTGCCATACTTTAATAAAAATACTTATTTGGACGTAATATGGTTTAATTTTAAATAATCGATTTGTTATAAATAAATCAAACAAAGACAAAAATAGCGTGATCAACGATTCCATTATTGTAACCGCTCCGCGAATTCCAAAGATTCAAATTCAGAATCCGCTAAAACGTGTTTCTGTCTATTCAGCTAGGATCGTTGACGTCCAGCACGCACCATACTGTCCAAAAAGTATTTAGTACTTAAATCTAAACCTTATTCCTACGTGAGTTCCTTATTTAAACCTATGACGTTGTGTAACTGACGTTTGTGCATTTATTAAGAAAGTTTTTTGTTCGCGACCCCACATTTTGCGAGTCGAGACGTGCATTCGATATTAAAAAATGCTTCAGAAAATCTTAAATTCAATAGTAATTTGGTGTTGAATAGGTAGGGAGAGGATAATGTAAGTACGCCCTGTTTTTGCGGTGTTGTATTTAGTACGCGAATTTCTCAACTTGCATTGTGTACACACTGGTTTCTTGCTCAGCGTGAATCTGTCACAGTGCCGTGGATATGAATGGAGAGACCGAGTTTCTAATTACACAGTCAATTTGATAGGTAAAGCGGGAAATATGAATTATTGCCCAGACCGTAACCGAGATGAAATCGGCCATATGTAATACACGACAATAGATTGGAAATTTTTGTGTACAGTTTAGCATAACAATAATATGTGCGTTTGATTGTATTCTTAAACGATTAGTTGGTAATTAGCCCATAATGACGATATGTCGTTGGGAGGCGTAACATTTCGGGCAATTTTCATTTGTTTTGCAAATTTTGTGACTCGCGGATATTGAATTGGTATTTAGGGATTTTTATTAACTAACAATGGTTTTCTGATAACACCCAGGGTAGCTAACGAAAAAATAAGAGGAATTTACATTCTTAAATGGGCTTTTTATTTAGAAATGAAAATGAAGAGGTAATTATATATTCCTAGGAATATTATATATAGAAAAGTTAGCGAAAACGTAAGTTAGTGTACTGCTTTACCATAGAGATATATTCAAATTGCATTTAAGGAGGTCGGAGCTGCACTAACTGCTAAAAAAATCTTTAAATGTTGCGTGGAACGTAACGAAGACGTAGACGACTAATATCTACATCTAAATTAATTATTATTAACTAGCTGACCCTGCAAAAGTTGTTTTGCTATTTACATTATTTAAAAATGTTTTTTTTTTGAATTTCTTAAAATCCTTTCTTAGCTGACCTGTACTCGGTGAAAAGAATATTCCTACCAAATTTCAAGCTTTTAGCTCTAATATTTCCAGAGATATCGTGTGGAGTGACTATATACGTGGAAATCTCTTATATATATATATATATATAGATATAGTAGATAAGAAGTACGTTAATAAATGCACCACATTACCTAAGAGTTTTATTTTAGTTCTCTTATTTTATACATTCTCATTTCGTAACTAGCATAAATTCTCAATTCGATTTTTAAAATTATAACACTTTTTTAAACGTGTATAGATGCAAATGACGATCTACAAATCGTTCATTAATTCCATGGCCACATACATAAAAAAACATTGAACTTTCGCTTTTTGCTCTAAATTAATTATTACGCAATTGTTAAGCGTAACATATTCGCGTAACATCTATCGAACATGTATCGAATCACTTGATTGAGCGTCCCCACATTCTGACATTCTCAAATGCATTTAATTCGATACCAGACAACAATCGACTAACGGTGTTGGAACTGTGTAAGAAGTGATGTCTTTTAACATGGTGGCATTACTCATAAGATTTATATAGAAATTTTGATTTGTAGAATGTGTTGCCTGTTGGTCTAGTAGTTAGTGACCCTGACTGCTAAGTGGCTTTGATTCCCACCCAGGACTAATGACTGTGTGATGACCACGATCGTTTGTGCTGTGTCTGTATGTTCATCAGCAGTCTGGTTCGCTTATGGTAACACAGGCTCTGCCTAGTTTGTGATCACACTGCCGTGCGTGAAGCTATTATTATTTATTTGTCTTACAGGAAGGAATGCAACCTATTGTGTGTGTTATTTCTGTACCAAAAAAATATGTAAAGCACTGGAAAGACCAAAAATAGCACTAAAAAGTTTGCCTCTATTTTTGTTAAGAAATATGAACTTTGTTGTCATAGGACAGCGCAATAAGAGTGTTTCAACGTTATTTGGTTAGTCTGTTTCTCTGTGTGTGTTCAATTCAAACCCGTGCCCTGTCTAACCTCTTTAAATTAGGAATATCACAAAAAAGGTAAATGAAAATTCCATCAAATAAAAACTACTGGGTATATTTTTTTCCTTTTCAAGAGAAACTTCATATTTCAAATTTTGTGTGGGTGTAGTCCTACTCTGTAGTCCTTTGTGTGGGTACAGTCCGTGTGGTGATGGATTAAGAATACAGAGTGTCACCACCCCTATTCAACCCGTGAGTGTCGTAAGAGCCGGCTAAGGGAAAAAACAAGCAGAACAACAGCACTGCAGAGAGAAGAAAAACTTGACACAAACCCTATACCAACCCGTCTGGCCAGCGTGGTATAGTAGGCCAAAACCTCATTTCTAAGGAGAGGCCTATATCCAGCAGTGGATTTTTCAAGGCTGTTGATGATGATGATGATGTAGACTACTTTTTACAGCGATTACTGACATACACGCAAGCGGTGCCGTAGGCAAAAGCTAGATGCTAGCAAAACATTGTACCTAAAATAATAGTGATCACCACGTCAGCGCCACGTCATATATGATCACAGTCTAAATACACAAGACACACAAGAATACACAGACAACTAAATACTCATGACCACAGATAGCGTAGTATAGTGTTGCACGTACGTCAATAGTTATAAGCTTTTAAAAAAATGTAATATTATTGTAGTTGTATTAAGTTAGTTATTATATTAAGTTGTATACTGTGTTTTCTTACAGAATAAAGTTTATTTCATTATTTATTATTATTTTATTATTAGATGTACAAGAACTACGTTAAATATTAGTAGTGTTACATAAGTAATTTTTTTCAAAAAACTATCTTCCGCGTATCTCACAATGTCTACCCTCCTTCATAATCAACATACCGAATGTCAAAAGCCGTGAAAGTATCGTAAGAATTTTATTTAGAAGAGGCGTGAAGTACGCACATTTTACGGATCTTCCAACACCACGACTTACTCGAGTCATGCGTATCAGAATGGTGCAATAATACCACGATATAACAGTTTACTATGGGTTTACAATAGCCGTGGTATTGCGATCATAAATGGTACCGTTGTGATTGTGTAATCTTTGTTGGTTGTATTTTGATTGAGAATCAAAAAGATTTATGTCAATAAGAATTAGTTAATAACAACTTCGATGCTTGCTTATACTACAGTATTTACCAAAAAATATGATAAGTTTTATATTGAAGTGTAGCTAGCCAATGTGTGAATGAAACTATAATAAAAATAGTCGGGATTGCGTCTTATCGTTGCACTAAAACATTTTTATGTGTGTGTGAGAGATGGCGGTGGCCGAATGTAGATCACAAATAAAATTTCAATTGCCATTATAACTTAAACTATTATTGTACCATGAGAAATCAAAATAAATACTGGACTTACATACATGTTTAAAAAACAGATTTCTGCACTTTTTCTTTCAAATTTGCACGTAACTTCGCTTATACTATTTCATAAAATTCCGTAGAAAGATAAAATTATTCACTTAATAAAATATAAATGAGATCTTCTTACAAAAACTATATTCGACTAGGACCATGGAAACAAGTCCTTTTTTTGGGGTACGATTAAAAGTAAAAACTTTGAAGTTATCTAAACATAAAAGACAAAATAGTGTCTATAGCCAAAAGTTCCGTGTGGTGACGGACTAAGAATACAGAATGTCACCACCCCTATATATCCCGTGGGTGTCGTAAGAGGCAACTAAGGGAGCAAACTAAGCAGGACAACAGCACTGAAGAGAAAAGGAAAACTTGACACAAACCCTATTCTAACCCGTCTGGCCAGCGTGGTATAGTAGGCCAAAACCTCTTTTCTAAGGAGAGGCCTATATCCAGCAATGGACTATTAAAAGCTGTTGAAGTATGATGAGCAAAAAGTACATAATACAGATAGAAATACATACAACGTTTTGATATCGCAACACACCGATTCCAATATTTCTCAATAAACATAATGCTATCTGTAATACATCAGTTTATAGCTGCGAATAGATAAACCTTCATTCGGTAGAATGAACATCAGGAGTCGACGACTGTTTATGACAAACGATTAATATAACTGCTAAAAGCTATTACCCACTATCAAGGCCTTTTGCCAGCAAATAACTAATTTCATTACTTATCTTTTATCTCTCAATCAAACGGTACCTAGTAGTGTTGAAGCATTTTTTTTAAACGAGCGCATTTTTTAAATTAGTGCAGTAATTAAAGACAAGTAGTTGCTAATATACGGTATAGATGCAGTCGCTAAATGGAACGATTTTAAAGCAGAATAAAACGATATACGATACAGAATCAATGCAGTCTGCAAATTGCAAATGCAATTATTTTGCTACTATTAAGCAGGTAGTTGTATAATAGATACATAATTGGTTAACTCATCTGTTGGCAAAGTCAAATTTAGCAAGTTAAACTAACATTTAGTATTTAGCTTAAGCTAAAATACAATGTCATGTTAATACAGTCATTGAATCAAACACATAATGAACTCGTAAAATCGTCGGTAGACAATGTTTAGGTGGGTGCGGCGCTTCCCACGCGGTTTAATACATAAAAGAATCTAGTTTACCTAGGGAGGGATAAGAAGGCTTTTGTGTCAAATAATAATACGATTTCATACATTTTGATTTCATTGTATTTTATATTTGTTTTTAATTAAAAGCATCTCATGGTTTACTGAATATTATAATTTGTTATTGCTTTGAGAGAGTTCAAGGCTAAGTAGTAGTTATAGAGAATGAATGAAAAGTGAAGCTGAAAACTGATAGGTACCTAATTGGGTCAGGCATTCGAGAGTAATGAATCCGGGTCATTTAAAAAACCAGAAAATCTCGGCCACTGAAGATACTAGCGTAGAGATATAAATCAAATTAAATACGACCTAAATGAAATTAATAAATCGTATTTGCCAATTTGCCTGATATTCATAAATATCACGCAAAGGATAAAATACCCATTTCAAAAATATATAGATAGATAGATAACTCTTTATTTGCACACATTTTACAAGTATTATCAAATCACATCACATCAACAGCCTCTAATAGTCCAGTGCTGGACTAGTATTATGGTACATAAAAATTTCAGACATATAATATATTTAAAATTTATATTTATATTTAAAATAAATATTTCACTAATTTAAAATTTTGAATATTTCAGGTCAAAGATGCTTAAGTGGGCAGTCTACGGTAAAAAGAATCAAGACCAGGTAGGCAAAGAAAACGATAATGAAGATTGTGAATGCATTGAGGGTTCTTACAATATTAACAACAAAAATAGAAGATCACTTGATGCTCAGACCGTTAAAAAGAGCAAAAAGCCAAGCAGATATCAGCGGAGATCATTAGGATCGACTGCAGCTAGAAAAAATCTACGAGCCGTAGATAAAGAAAATTTGAATTATTTAGGAAATACACCAAACTATTTCAAAGAAGGTTTTATCAAAAAGCCTGAAGGCATTGCCTTAAAAGACGTTAGTAATATTACACCAACAGGTACTCCAGTCAAAAATTACGAAAGGAAAAAGTACTTTCTAGGTGGTTCTAAAGATGATATACCTCCTGATTTACCTCCAACACCACCTACATATAGCAGAAGAGTCAGAGAAGCTAAAAAACGAAAATTAGAAATGGCGAGTGCAAACGATGTTTTTAAGAGGGATAGTTTTGAATACAAATCTGAAAGACAAATTAAGTCCATTGATAGGAATTCGTTTAGTCCTAAATTGAGTCACAGCACTTCGGCACCATCTTTAAATGAACTATCTGACAGATTGAGTGCAAGTACTGCAAGTAGTAGAAATTCATTCTGCCAAGGAAGACCCTCTATTAATCCAGTATGTACAACAAAGACAGCAAACGAAGGATTAGTTGAAATTGAATATGATCAAAATTTGGTTATCAATTGTGTAGAGATACCTCTAAATATAGACACAAGTGTTGCAGAAAAAATTACCTTGCCTATATTCGGACATCACATATTTATGGATAATCCACTTTACTTTAATAATAATGATATCATTCGCACAAATATTAGACCATTAAAAAGAACAAGAAAGAAATCAACTGAATTCGAGAGTTCTTTTAAATCTCCATCCGTAGATAAGAAAGATGTACATGCATTAGTTAGAGATGGTTGTTCTCCTATATCTATTACACCTCTTTCTACTAAGCTAGCTGCTTTAAGATTCAGTACAATGAGTACGCATAGCAAATCTCAAAGAGTTCCTTTTAATAATGATGTTACAGAGTTTTTCCCTAAAGTTGAAAATCCTTTTACTATTCCACTAAAAGACGAAGAGAGTTGTATTGAAATGGAAAATAAATTCATCTTGAGTAAAGAAACAACCAACAATGATACAGGTTCAACTGTATCAACAACCCAAATGGGAGATGTAACTCTTGAGAGAATGATTGAAGATATAATAAAAAGTACTAAAATTGTGAAATCAAGAAGAAGAGTATTGAACAAAACTTCGAATACTGAAGAGAAGAGAATAGAAGAAGAAATGCCTTCACTTGATGCAGTCAAAGCTTTATTTGTTAATACCCAGGCAGAGAACAAAACAAATCTAATAAAAGAAGCTAAATATGTAAATTTGTCTAGGGAAAACTCCTTATCACCAAAAGCAACGCCGACGAAAAAGATGCCAGTACAAAGAGTGAACGATAAGTTACTAAAGAACCTACCAATGGGATGTTTTATCTTAGATGACGGAGATGGCTACAATGAAAGAGAAGTAAGAACTCCAGACAATGCCATTGAAATGAAGCGTAAATCAGGTTCAAAGAAGCGACTAAGTGTGCTTACTAGATCACAGTCTATGAATACGTCTCTCAGGAGAAGTAATTTGGAGACTACGTCATCGGAATCTACACCTGATTTGTATGCCTTGGGAAACGAACGCGCTAGCCTGAGGTTGAAACGGCAAAGATGTATTCGGAGAAAAAAGTCTACAGTCAGTAATGAAAGTCATTGCAAAAACAGAGATAATAAAACATCAATACTGACTCTAGAGATTGGAATTCCAAGCCCAGCTACTGAGTTGCCTAACACCTCTTTATGTGAGCCACTAAGCCCACCACTTTCTCATCCAACAGAATCTGATGACTATCAGAATATTTCCTTGAGATCAGATGTTTCGCACAGTAGTTTGATGCCTTACGACAATGCACACAATAAAAGATCTAGAGATCTGTTCGGTTTGAATCTAGAACATGGGATACCAAGCCCTATTACTCCTGTTCCTAACCTCAAAAGGCCTGGTAAAGTGTTGAGCGAAGAGCGAGCTCATAAAACTAGCAAGTTAGATGAGGAGCTACTTCAAACTGAAGCGTATACTCCTGTTATTGAGCATAAATCGATACGACGATGTTTGACTTACTCTCCCGAAGAATATAGCATTAATAGTAGCGAAGAAAAAAGAAGAAGCGTTGCGAGTAATCGTTTAGAGCAGAGCAGCGAACGCTTTCAAGCGCTCAAAGGGACGATAGATTTGGCAATCATGACGAATAATGACGTCATTGACGTGCACGGTGAGTGGTGACTATCGATTTTATTTACTTAATCTTAAAGTTGAGACCTAAACATATAGAGATTTTGATAATCTTGTTTTATTTACAGTTATAAGATGCCGAGATCTTCAAAGATCTACAGGAAAAACAGATGACATCAACGCATATGCAAAGGTCAGTATTATATTTTCATGTCTTTCATTTTCCCATTCACTCTAAGTAACGAAATGACGTCTAAATGACCAATCACCAACTGACAAATTTTCAGGTTGTCATTAGTGGCGTAACAGAACATCAGACGATTCCCTCCCAAAGATCGATCTTTCAAAGAACGTCGGTGTTATATGGCAAGCGTGAACCGGAGTTTCAAAGGCATTTGCGGCTGCCTTTGCCCACAGCTGTCTATGATCACCAGGCTCTACACATCTCCGTCTGGCATAGAGATAAAAAATATCGGTAAGTAGGACTCATTTATATGACTTCAGCTTTAATTTTTGTTAATATATTTAAAAGAGAGATCGTCTTAACTAAATAACTATTTTCTGTATAAAATAAACAAAAATTGATTGGTAATTAAAACATTATTCAGGAAGACTAAAATTTTATATACTAAACAAATATTTGTTTGTAAAAATAAACCTTACCGTCTCAAAGGTCCGAAAGGGTCCGAAAGGAGCTTTAAAGCTGACAAATAAAGCCACAACAGACTTAAAATTTCCAAATAAGTTTACTAAAATTTTAAAACCTAATACAAACTAATACCTATATTCCGACAAGTCGTATAACCTTTTCACTAAGGTTTTAAAAGTTTAAGCTAGCTTTATTTTATAGATAAGTTTTAATGGCTTTATTGATCATAGTTCTTATTAGAGTTTAATAAGCTATTTTTTTCTACAAAGATCAAACGGGCCCTAATATTATCTAACAACCCATTTGATTCTTCGGCATTAAGTAAACAAGCCCGCTGAATAGAATAGTGCATTAGCCAATTATTATTTTTTATACTTTTTAAAAATATTTTAATAATCCAAGTACGTCTGTACTCTGCAGTTATTAAGCCCTTTGCTTTATCTGAATATTGTACCTGGTACACACAACAACCGCATCCTCCAGTGTACGAGTATATGTAATTCTGAGAATATCGCATTACTTTTAAACGTGCGGTGGAAAGTCTTTGCACAGTTATTTACAGTGTTTTTGTATTTTAACTATAATTTTATATTTTGTACTCAATGTGGGTTTTTAATTTTGATGTTTGTTCTTTTTGAGTCAGTTTAGTAAGATTTTTTAAACAAGTTTAATATATTCAAGTTAAAATTGCTTGCAAAAGCAATTTCAACTTGAATTTATCAAACTTGAATGAATTTATTAAACGTATGATAAAAAAATTGTCTTGGAAATTCCAACAAGTTTATTAAAAAAAAGAGTTCTTTATTTTATCCCCGCATTGATCTGCTGATTGATCATTGTGTTGTTCGCTTCAAGATTACTTTCGACAGTAGATGACATTAATTTCCTAGCGTAATTATTAGTTTTATTCATATTTGTTACCTTTTGCCTTTTTGATACGGAATTTTCGCATTTTCGAAAGGTTAATAGCCGTTTTAATTGCCAATAATTGGCTGTTACCTATCTCTATTTGGATTTAAGTTAGGTAGAGTCAAGAAACTGGTTATTAAAACTTATTATTAGAGGTAGGCTACAACAGAACTCTGGTTGAAACCAAGCAACTGGTTGTTAAAACTGAAACGAATAATGGTTATTAAGCTTTAAGTACTATTACAAATAATCCTCTGAATTTAGAAGTTAAAAGCTTTTGGGTTTGTAAAACATTGTTTAGAATAAGATTAATATGACTGGAAATTATCAAAATATTGATTAGTAATATCAATATTAACAAACCAAACAAGACATTAAACCTTCAAATGAAGGTTAACCGACGAAAATATCAAAATACTGTGCTGGTACATTTTTTTTTAAATTTTAATGTACATAAATAAAAATGCAAAAATATAGTGAGACGTACCGTAGTGTTTTATTCACTTTTCCCTGTATATTCCAGTTTCATACATAAGATATTGGGGTGTAGAAACGCGGAGTCTAGTAGACTTGCGCAGGCCGATCGATTGGCAGGCGGCGCAAAACCCGGGCAGTTGCGTGGCCGAGTCACGGGTGTCAGAGGTCTCGCTTTTGCCGCGTTCTCTCTAAATACGCATAGATTTTTAAGTGCCGTGCTGTGTTGTGACAGTGTGTTATTTTATTTTGTATAAAAGGATTGTGTTATAAAGGGTAAGGTTTGTAGCAAAAAAAAATTTTTGTAGTTAATTATATTTTCATTATAACGTTGATCAATTTTTTTTGTTACCAATTCTGCTAGTGCTTTATTTTTTTATTTATTGTTTAAAAATGATAATCAAAACTTATACTCGTGTTATTTCTAAATAGTCTATATGTTATTTCATTTAACTTAATAGAAAAAAACTTCGTGACCTACTACCCTTAAAACAAAAAAACAAAGATAATATTTAAGTAGCTATATTTTAAAGCAATTTTTGTGTTGTTCAACTGTTATACTGTTCTCGGTCCAATCATAGACACATTCCTTATCGAAGTGCCCTTCGGCGTTGTATAAACTCCATTTTATGACAATAGGTTAGTGTGCTTCTGTTTATCAGGCCTTCATATATTGGCCATAAGTTCTTGCATTCTAAGGACATCAAAATTATATTTTTTCACGATTATGATACGAATACATAATATGTCTCACAAATATTCCAATAAATTCTTTATTTAACTGAAGCTCCAAATGACTAAACGCTTTGTATAAACAAATATATACATTTATAAGATTTCAAAAGATTTCTTTGTGACTCTAAACTTCTAGTTGTTTACTCATGCTTCTTCAGTTATCTCTCATTAACGGTATAAATACAGATATACTAAGAAAAAAAACATGAGCTATTCAAAAATCCATATGGAGCTCTAATATCTGTCGTTCTCGAGATTCATAAAAACTCATCTATTCGTTCCTGTTTCGCTAATATCAATTATTTCATAAAAGCATACAGCCTAACATTAGATTAGATTTAAAAAAATATTTCTTTTAAGTATTTAGGCGTTTATTATTATACCATCAACTAGGACGGTCGTCTCCTATTTGCGTAGAGGGAAAACAATCCAGTTATGCCTATTACGTTATATGTTTTTTTTTAAATCTATATGTATTGCCGCTTTGTGAAAATATTTAAATAGTTCTTGCCTATTTTTCCTAAATCTATTTGGGGCCAGCGTTTTTTTTTAATTTTCCTAGATCAATTTAATTTACTGCATACTTTTTCTCTGGCAGTGTCCTTCTCTTTGCAGTCCAACCATCTTTGGGCATTCTCTTCTCTTGTATCCTTCAATTTCTATACGTAAAACTTTCTTTATGGTGATGAGCAAAATGTGGATTTTGCTGATGACTCTACCAACATTTCAAATTATGAAGAAATGGTTGTAATCAATTGAGGGTCTGAACACTGAAAAACTAAACGGAAATCCATGATCGTTTGTAATTATGTTTCGAAACGCAATGCTGTAAGGAGCAGTCTTTGCTGAGTTTTACCAGGTCAGGACATTAGATAATTTTTTTTTTAGGTTGCTTTTGAATTCAATAATAGAGACGTGAAATATCTAACTAGAAAAATATAAGTCAATAATAAATCCTACTTTAAAAAAAGTTGAACCGACTTTAAACAATACTAACAAAGAGCACTAAAAACCAAACAGCAATCGCGGTTGATTTGCTGTCATTTTTTGAAGAGTTTCGTTGTCTGTCTCCGAAACTCATCATCATATCTATATGAAATATAAATGGGACCATTTCGGAATAAACCCCTTTCGAACAAAAAAAATATTTTGAAAGTCCGTCTATAAAGGGTTTTCCAACAAAAGGTGTTATTTTGAATCACCCGGTATTTCGGTAGCTGTCACTTTTGAAGCTTTTATTTTTTGACATTAGACAAGTAGAAACTACGCCATTACTAAAAATGGAACGATACACACTTCAACAACGCATTAACGAACCAACGAAATTATTAAAATTCACTACAAAAATGGTGAAAATCTTGCAGTCACAGTTCGCAAAACTAAAGCATTTTTTGGTCGTCGTGAAGCACCTTGTCGGACCGCAATACAGAAATTGGTGGAAAAATTCGAGCTGTTGGGACAAGTTAGTGATGTGAAGAATAAAACCCGTGCACGTCGCTTAAGAACAACTGAGAATATTGCTGCTGTAGCCCCAAGTGTTGAAGAAAACGCAGGTTTGTCCATTCCTCGTCGTTCTTTGGAATTGGGCATTCCACAAACGTCATTACACCGTGTTTTGCATAAAGACTTGGGTCTTAAGGCTTATAAAGTTCTGTTAACACAAGAACTCAAGCCGGCCGATCATCAACAACGTCGTGTCTTTGCTGATTGGGTACTTGAAATGCATGAAAATGATCCGGAATTCCATCGAAAAATCATCTTGACTGATGTGGCCCATTTCCACCTAGGAGGCTACGTCAACAAGCAAAATTGACACATCTGGGGCTCGGAAAACCCAAGAGTTATAGTTGAGAAGCCTCTCCAGCCTTAACGTGTGACTGTTTGGGGCGGGGTATGGTCCGGTTTATGGTTGGATCAACACTTACGGTGAATGGATTGCGCTATCGAGATATGATTAATGATTTTTATGGCCGGAGTTGGATGGTATTGATCTGGACAACGTTTACTTTCAACAAGACGGCGCTCCGTGCCACACAAGCAACGAAACCATTGCTCTTTTACGGGAAAAGTTTCCTGACCGTGTTATCTCTCGAAGAGGTGATCACAATTGGCCACCGAGATCTTGTGATTTAACACCTTGCGACTTCTTCCTTTGGGGCCACGTGAAAGATAAGGTCTACGCCAACAGCCCAGTGTCGATTCAAGACCTCAAAGATGGAATTCGTGAGGCTATCGAGGACATAGGGCAGCCACTTTGCGATTTGGTTATGCAAAATTTCATTAAAAGGATATGGTCCTGTAAGTGAGTCGTGGTAGCCATTTGGCTGATGTTATTTTCCATTATTAACGGCATACCTTCCTCTTTATTATAAAATGAAAAGCCGATTATTTAAATTTAAAAAATTGCATTTTTCTTTGAATGCCAAAATAACACCTCTTATTGGAAAGCCCTGTATATGACGGAGCTATGCCGAAATATACATAAAATGAAATATAAACATCCGAATTGATAAGCTCCTCCTTTTTGAAGCCGGTTAAAAGTTCTACATCATGAAAAAAATTGGCAATTTGTTGGCAACACCTTTGTACGCCACATATTTGGCATGAATTTTCCTCAGTTTAACACCCATTTCTCCTATTATCGTCTTAGTAAACGGAAAATCCATGTTCAAAATAGACCTTTCTGCCCCTGCTATCCATTCTTAAAAGATG